AAAGTACGTTTGATTGAGCTGAATTTTGCGTCTATTATGACTCGATTTCATGTCAAAATTGACGCTCGTATATGTAAGTCTCAGAGCACCTACATTTATAAGAATTTTTTCTAAGTGTGTATGTTTCAAGGGGTCAATCGATTAGCTTGAGCACGTTTCATCGGGATCTACTAGCCTTAAAGTTACCTCTATGGTTTTATCAGGCAATTACCGTGAAATTTACCTCCGATGGCTGTCTCCGGGCTTGATGTGCGGCTTTAACAAAAAGCCTTGAACTGCTCGTCCTCCTGCTCCTCGTGCTTCCCAGTGAAATAATAATTAATTAATTTATCTTTATTAGGGAGGCTTTCAGCCTGGGGCTGGTTCGCCTCCAAGTGAAATAATAATAAAAACCTGTATTTATTGAAATTTGTCTGGTATGTTGTTGCGTGTTGGGTTTTGGCCCAAGTCAGAAACTGGACAATTCCCTGGGGGGTACCTGGAACATACCAGAATGTGGTCAATGTGGATCTCAGCACTATATTTGACTTAAACTGATCTTGTTTTTCAATTTCTGCGAGATTTTATGTGTCAAATTACAGGGTTTGGACCATATCAGAAACTAGTCACTTCCCTAGGGGTTCCTTAAAGATGCCTAGAAGTAAGAAAGGTGGTCCTGGGCACATTATTTTACTTCCATTGATCTTGGTTTTGAAATCTAATGTGATTTGCTATGTGGCGCATGATGGGTTTTGGATTAAATCAGAAACTGACCATTTTCTTGGAGGTGCCCGGAACATATCCGATAGGGGTCAACATGATTCTGTGCACTTTATTTGACTACCATTGATATTGCTTTTGAAATCTAATTAGATTTGATACGTCACATGATGAATTTTGGACCAAGTCAGAAACTGGCCACTTCCCTGGGAGTTTCCAGAACATGCCCGGAAGTGGCCAAGGTGGTCCTGGGTACTTTATTTTATTACCAATGATTTTGTTTTTGAATTCGCATATGATTTGATGTGTCGCATGATAGGTTTGCAATCTCCAGAATTGGTTGACGGAATCCAAAAATATTCAATGGCGTTCAATGGGACCAATTGGGAATAATTCATTTGGCGCTAGTTGTGCCCAATTCGGTGCAGTGGTTGCTGAGAAGCATGAGCGTATTCTTTTCGTTACACACATGAACACACACTTACATTTTCCGATGTCGTTGAGCTGAGTCGATTGGTATAAAAAAACTCGGCCCTCCAAGCCTCGGATCGAAAGTTGGTTTTCCAAGCGGAATAGTATATACCCCAAGGGGTGGTCACTCTACACACATATTTTGTGCCAACATTTTTCTCAGTGTACCTCAGTGTGCCGCAGCTGTACAGGCAGTGCCAAGAAGTCATTGAACTGACTTTTGTTTGCTTGTGAATAATGCATTGTTTGGCAACCCGGTATTTTAACAGCTCTTGTTTTGTTTTGTTTTTCAATGTTTTCAAAACTGACATGGACTCCAGTTGGGACTACACACTGGATGCATCCGTCTCCAAGGATGCTGCAACGGACGAGCTCTGTTGCTACACGATTCTTCCATATTCGGCGGAAGGCCGACCCCGCACAACGAACGTCAATCATTATGCAACCAGCGCTTCAGGGAGCCGGATAAGGAAACGGAAAATCGGAAAACTGGAAACCAACACCGGCCGGACCACACGTCGGACTGATGAAGGGCCCGACCCGATGACCCGAAACGGACCAGCCAACTTCATTCAACCGGCACAGCAACAAGGCGCAGTGATGATGGTCTACGGACTCGGTACCGCCATGGTCCAGATGGGAGACGCCATCACAGCCGAACCAGTCAAACGCAGCATCCAGCACTTGAACAACATTGAATTAATGGAAATGATGGTAGAAAAATTCAAATTGCATTTTCCAAGCAGAACTACTTGTCAGAGTCCACTTTGCCGGACAATTCGATCATCTTCAAGGTGTACTGCACCTCCAAGAACAATCGCTTCCATTCCCGAGCAAGCTTCTCCACTTCTTCAATACCCCACCCGGTATATCCGAGAATCTGCTTCTGACTGCATTCACCACCAAGGACTGCCACCCGTCGCAATTACGAATGTTCCCGCTGAAATCGGAATGTTCCTCCTTCGGATTGATCGAGTTCCCGAGTGAAGCCCTGGCGGTGTACGCCATCATGAAGTGCAACCACAGCGCGATCGATCTCAAAGGCACAAAATTCCCGTTCATTATGAAGCTGTACTTTTCCTCTGCCAAGCCTATGAACGGTGCGTGGAGCAACGAGAACATCGAAAACCCGTAAGCTTGGAAAGAGCGGAAGCTTCTTTTTCTGAGAAAAGAAAGAAAGGATTTTCCTTTTTCTGTGTAGTTAATGTTATGATTCGTAATTTTAACTTCTTATTGTGTTAGTTGGAAGTGCAAAAAGGCAGGAGAGTAAAAATAATTTGTTGAACTATTTGAGATTTTTCCAAGATGGTCCTCCAACATTATATGTTGGACGATGTAATGGTTGGTGTAGCAGCCACCGCCATGGATGTATTCGAGCAGTTCGAATGGTCGGATGGTATAGTTTTTGCACAAACGAAGTGACAGACGACTAACTGGCGAAGAAATCAATTAAAATAATGTGGTTCGCTGTAGTAGAATTTTCTTAGAAGCTCCACCAGATGTAGGGTAGGGTAGTATTTTTGTTTTGGTTTTGTTGTTGATTTTGTGTACAATGATTCTTTGACAGTGTGCAAAGAGTGCGTATCATTTTGTCATTTTTTTATGCATTTCAGTTTTGAGTAGAGTGAAAGAGATAGAACCAAAACACTCTAGTACATTTGGTGAAAATGCTAGTTCAATCCAGTAATAGTGTTGCCATGTGGTACAATCCAGTAGTAGTGGTGTTGCCGTGTGGTACACTGAAAAATTGCAATAGCAGCTTAGTCACCAAAGTTTTCGAGCCGCTCCGTCTGTCACTTCGTTTGTGGTTTTTGTTTGGTTGTTGACTTTCCGATTAAAACTCAAGCACCGTTTGTCGTGACCGGCCCAAGATTTCCAGCGTCGGCCGCGGCTACACGAATTAGCGATGCAGCTCCCACGGCTGCGGCTGCTTCAAATGCTGCTGCTGCTGTTCCTTCTGCTGGTCCGTCTCCTCTAAAATTCGTCAGAAAAGACGGACCAGCAGCCACAGCCGTGGGACCTGCATCTCTTGTTCGTATAGCCATGGCCGGAAACCTTGGTCAGGTCAAGATGCCGCTGTCAGCTGTTCTTCGTCTGGGAGGAAATGTGGACGCGACTGCCGTCACGGGTGTAACGGTGGTGAGAATCCATGGCGGGACTTGGTTAAGATTCACGGTTGTGTTTTGAAAATAATTTGATTATATTGTGGCAACATCAATAACAAATTTTGACACATGCAAACTGCGCAGGCGCAGAAAAAGCTCAGTGTTGCCAGTAACTTTAAAGATCATAAAAATTGTAACCATGGGTGCCAAACAGCGCCAATGACTGCACCCGGGTGTGCCCAAGTTTGTTTTGGCACACTGTGTTGAGTGACCAACCCCTTGATATACCCTTCAAAAACAACATAAAAATCCTGCAGAACAGAAGCGTCCGGATGTTTCCCTTGTGATCTTTTCGCAGCTGCGACGACAGGGCCGGCAGCAAAAGCAGCACCGATAGCGATATCTATCGCTCTAGCTCTAGCTGGAACTACACCAATGTCAACAGCAGTCGATTGTTTTGCAGAAAAAACCCCAACAACGAAACAAAACAACACAAAATCTCGAGTGCGACAGCTGTCAAACTAGTTTGGAACAGTGCTTGCCTTGATTCAAATTCAGTTCAAAATAGATCGAGAACTGTACTGGTTTAACAAAATATAGACCACCAGTGTAAGGACTCGGTCTGGGTCTTGTCCAAAATTTTAGACCAAACCAAAGATGCCCTAAGTTTTTTTTTTTAATTAATTTTGAACTTATAGGGTAAGTGAGCCCCATTTTGATCGATTTTATTTTTATGCAAGGGAAGATCATAGATTTTACCATATAGGGGATATGGATGTAATGTTGGCCTAAATGCCCCTAATTTGGACCCATGCATAAATTCAGCAATCGACTAAATTTTCAATAGCGACCAAAAATATCCATTGGTACCGTCCCAATAACGCGTTCATCTAGATAAAATAGATAAAAAGCAGATTTTTAGCGATGAGCCCAATCTTAGATCCATATGCCCAACATTACATCCATTTCCCCTATCTACTCAAATAAAACCAAGAAAATGTATTTTCAATTTGAGTTAGAACTTTGGGTCAAAAACTGGAGCTCTAGTGTTATAACTGGCACGCTTACCCTAATATCTTTTAGTACCCAACGCATTCATTTCTGCATCGATTTAGAGGAACCATATGAAATGAGTTAAATTCTAATTACCAATCAATAGCCACCAACACGGCAAAAACGCGTCTCGCCAGCTTGATTTGTATAAATTCAGTGCTAACATTTGAAAACGGCACAAAAGCCATTTGTAGACAAATGGTTTGTGGGCCCTTTACTCACTACTTGAAGTACACCCACGCGACACAACAGCAACATCGGGTAGGGGAAATTTTCCCCTTCCTTACGATGCTGTTGGTTTGCGTGGGCGTTCTTCGGGTAGCGAGTAAAGGGCCCACAAACCATTTGTTTACAAATGGCTTTTGCGCCGTTTTCAAATGTTAGCACTGAATTGATCCTATATACATTCCGACTTGGCCCCTCCAATGTTATCACCATGATGGAAATAATTGCAGTGGACGAATAGAATCGCATTAAATTAGCGATCTCAAAATTCAACTAATTACCACCATGAAATTTTCCGCTGCAAAAACTACCTACATAGAACTACTCGTTTTTCCAGGATTAGAAAGGGTTTTGTTTAGGGAGTGGATGGCTGTACCCAAATAAACGACGAACCTTTAAATAATTTAACCAAGTTTATTTCACAACGATTCTACCAATACACATGACTCAATGCATCAAAAGAACGGAACCCACAAGGGTCAGGGTGGCTCCAAGCAGCTGCGAACTGGTTCCGACGAAGGGAGCACTATCCGTGGCGTTTCCGCCGTTACCATTTTCACCGGCTGGAGGTTCCTGACGACGTCCGATACGAACCAGGCTACGCAGGCCAAACTTCTGGAACAATCCGGCTTCGGAGTCCCGTGGCATGTCGAATGCATCCTGAACGGCACCGTTGTACATGATGACGGCAAGGTCCCCAGCGGAATCCGAACCGGCTGCCTGCAGGGCGAAAGCCTGAACGTTCTGCTGTCCTTGACCGATGACGTCCAGCTCGTGCAGTTGGTTGATTTGGCTGTGGGTTGGAATGGAAAAAAGAAAACTCATTGGCTCCGAAGTTTGATGTTGAGGTTCCAGTTGTTCAGTTTTCCGGTTGATCCCAGGATTAGAGAAAAATCCATAGTGAGAGCGAAGAGGCAAGTAAGGCCGGTGCCATGCTGACGCGGAAAGCGAAGCGTTTCGTGGTGCGTGCCAAAGAATTGTTGTAGCGATTTGCGTCAGCATGGCAGCGACCTTTGTAAAGCGAGGAAACTAATGAATTCTTTTCATTGCTTCGCTCGTCTCTTCGCTCCGTTTCACTATGGAATCGGCCTAACAAAACTGGATGCAACGGTCAATTCGTTCTATTTTCTGCTGATAGCAGGGATCACTGCAAAACAACGAAAACTCACCTAGAATCCGATCCTAGGCATCGAGCCAAGGCAATAAACATCTTGCCATTCAGTTGGTAGCCGGTGCACAGGTCTTGATCGGTTTTGCTGTGGAACTGGATGGTGGCAACGGTGATCGGATCTTCGGCTTCATGCAGAGGGCTTGATGAGCCAATCTGGCCCAATACGAGCAGCAACAGAGTCAGAGCTCCAAACTTGATGTTGAAGAGGTTGAACTTTTCCATCTTGATTGCTTGAGCGATGCGTTTAGAATGAGAATATTTTTTCAACTTTTCCGCACGCGGGTTGCTGTGATACTTTTTTTTGGGAAATCGGTCTGAAGTTCAGTTCAGTGGGTCCGAAGCGAGGTGAAGCGTTGCTGCAAAATTAAAGTGCGCCGGTTCCTGTTGAAAGGTTCATGAAAAATGGGTTTCTTAATTAATTTACCTTAGGTCGTTTTTACGCTGGTGCTACACCGATGGAGATGCGCCAATAAGCGCTAGTTGTCAATAGGTCATTAAATGACCAGATGATCAAATCAGAAAATCCTGACGTGTTAGCAAATGATACAAGAATTGTAATAACGTTGACGATAACATTATTCCAGACTAAACAGCATCCACTGAACTACACGTCTGGCAAAGATTCCTCTTTGTCTCAAAATTTGCATTATTTTCAAGCCACATAACGGTGAAAAATGACAAATTACTTTTTTGTGTTTAATTAAAATTCCCAAAGTTCAAAGGGAAAACAAATTCGTCTCCTTCTCTTGTTATTCATCATCGTCCCCAGTTCGTCCCCAGCTATGAAAGTCGAACGCAGCACTAGTTTGCTGCCCCACTCTATCGCGTGTCATTGCATGGAATCCCGAACCGTACCATTTAATATGCAATATTTTAATGCCCCTTTCCTACTTGGAATTTTTTGCTTTTTTCCGTCTCATTTTTGCTGCAATTTTTCACTCGCATCTCACTCGCTCATCGTTCCCTACCCTACTTCTGTGGATGTGGAACATATTTTAGCCACGCTGTCACAAGTGTCGTACAGCATCCAGACAACTCTTTTTCAAAGTGCATCTCCTCCGCCACATCCACTGCATACATACTTTCAGCTGTCACATTAACAAGAGTGTTTTTTTCTTATTTCCACGCTCCAATTTATTCCGAAAGTATGCATAGATCGAATGGGGAGGGACGGGTCGGCTCGGTCGAGTGGGAAACCTACCGAAGTGGCATTGCTTGAAGAATTCGAATGATCGGAGGAGGAAAAACAAAATGTGACAAACTGGCGCGTGATCTCATTCTGAATGGATTGCAGCCAGTAAAGCAGGAAACATTGTTTGTTGTGACTAATGTTCTACTTTTTTTATGTTTTGTAAAACCACCCAGGTTCCTCGCGGATCATCATTCGGTGCCAATGTTTCCAATCCCGTATAAGCCACAGATAATCTCCCGTAGCCAACTAATAGGCAAAAGCAGCATGTCAAAGCCCCCTAAAAACCCATCCCATCATCACAACATTAGATTAGATATGGAATGTGCGACCGAAGCAAAACGCTACAAGCGCGCAAACGCATAAAAATCACATTTTGATTAGATAACAATGGGAATCGGATTGACAACGTCACCAATAAACCAAACATACAACAACAACACCATCCGGTGTCGCTTTACATGCGTGCTCCATGGTTTGACAAGAGCGTTGGATTTTTTGTGGTTGTGTTTTATGGCTCTTCATTCGGTGGGATACAACTGATTTGTCCATTTATCTGTCCAGCTATTTATCGACGATCTATCTATCAGCCTATCAGCCTTGCCGTTTAGTAATGTGTCAACATCGTCAAATGAGCGTGTGGGACGATGCGATGAAGCCCATGCAGCGGAGGGAAAAGTCGTAAAATTTGAAAACTACATTGTTCCAAAACTGCTTTCTAATCGCTGATAGCGGTTTTATGAGAGTTTGCTGCATTTTTTAGTCAGACGAGAAGATTCTTGATTATCTTGGTTTTTTTAATGTGTGCATCGAAATTTCAACTTGCAACTTTGTTTTTTTATATGAGAAAAAAAACTTATTTAAAAAATGGTGGGGTTGTGCACAAGACACGACCGCAAGGGTGACGTAGACTACGTTAAGCTGTGTAATGAACTTCTCGAGCATTTTTCTAAATATTGATTTACAATACAGTAGAAGCAACCTATGATTTCGGTCCATATGTACATATTTTGGATTTCCTACTTAGTAAAGCTTGGTTAAATTCAGGACCTCATAAAAATACGAATACATATTCTATTAAACGCTGTCCAGACTGGAGAGTTATAACATGTTATAACGGTTGTCAACTTTTTTTTTTAGTTTTTTTTTAAACTCTTTATTTGTTCCAAATTCATAATAAATTACATTTCATTTTAACCTAGGTGCTCCAGTTACTACAGTAACTTACCAGCCTGAATTGTTATGATATATATCTAAGTGTTTTTACATTGTTCATATCTTGACAATTCAGTAATTTAAACAGGTTTTTTAACCTGCATGTCAGTATAACAATTGATATCTTAAAACTAAAAACTAAAACTAAATCTTATCTAAGTAAGTATAAAGGGAATTAATCGTTGCAATTGAGGATTGCAACGATTTTTGCCTGAAATTATTAATTATTCTGTTGGACATTTGTTCTAAAGTCTCAACATTCGAAATTCTATGTACCTCGGTAGTACTGTACCAGTGAGGCACATTCAAAATCATCTTCAGAACTTTGTTCTGAATCCTTTAAAGTGCTTTTTTCCTGGTAGTTCAGCAACTAGACCATATTGGCACAGCGTAAAGCATGGGCGGTCTAAAAACTTGTTTAAATATTAGAAGTTTATTCGTCAGGCAAAGCTTGGATTTCCTGTTTATAAGAGGATACACACATTTTATATATTTGTTACATTTGGCTTGAATGCCTTGGTTTGACCAGGAAATTTGAACTCCGTTCATAGTGACTATGTGACTACTACTAGGTTTCAAAAAGGAAGCTCTAGGCTTATGTGGAAATATTATAAGTTGAGTTTTGGAAGCGTTGGGAGAAATCTTCCATTTTTGTAAATAAGAAGTGAAAATATCTAAACTTTTCTGCAGTCTGCTGCAAATAACACGAAGACTTCTTCCTTTAGCGGAAATGCCTGTGTCATCAGCGAACAAAGATTTGTGGCAACCCTGAGGCAAATCAGGGAGGTCCGAAGTGAAAATGTTATACAATATAGGCCCAAGAATGCTACCCTGAGGAACTCCTGCTCTAACAGGTAATCTATTAGATTTGGAATTTTGATAATTTACCTGCAGACTTTTTATAATTTCATAATATAAAGTGGAAAATTAAACTTTTTCAATTTAGCAATTAAACCTTCATGCCAAACACTGTCGAATGCTTTTTCTATGTCTAGAAGAGCAACTCCAGTTGAGTGGTCTTCAGATTTGTTTGAACGAATTAAATTAATAACTCTTAAGAGTTGATGAGTAGTTGAATGCCCATGGCGAAATCCAAACTGCTCATCTGTAAAAATTGAGTTCGTTGTGAAGCATCATTCTATTCAAAATTATCTTTTCAAAAAGTTTACTTATTGAAGACAGCAAACTAGAAGCTTCAGCTGGATTTTTATCCGGCTTCAAGATTGGAACAACTTTTGCATTTTTCAATTTATCAGGAAAGTAAGCCAAATGGAAACATCTGTTAAATAACTTTACCAAGAAATGCAAGGTACTCTCTGGGAGTTTTTTGATGAGGATATAGAAAATTCCATCATCACCTGGAGCTTTCATATTTTGAAACTTTTTAGTTATAGACCTTATTTCGTCCAAATCAGTCCTCCAGGAATCATGAAAAATATTTTTCCGAGAGAAAATATTCAGAAAATCCCGAGCAACCTGATTCTCAATAGGACTAGTAAGACCCAAACTGAAATTATGGGAACTTTTGAATTGCTTAGCAAGTTTCTGAGCTTTTTCCAAATTTGCGATCAAAATTTTACCACCTTATTTAAGCGCTGGAATAGGCTTTTGAGGTTTTTTTCAAATTTTTTGTGATTTTCCAAAAGGGTTTGGAACTCGGGTCTAATTTAGAAATATTATTTTCAAAAGTTTTGTTCCTCAGGGCAGAGAATCGCTTTTAAATTTGTTTTTGCAAATCCCGCCAGATAACTTTCATGGCAGGATCGCTTGTTCTTTGAAATTGTCTCCTACGGACATTTTTAAGACGGATCAAGAGCTGAAGATCATCGTCTTTTATAAATGAATCGAATTTAACCTCGCATTTTGGTACTGAGGCAGCTCTTGCTTCAACTATAGAAGTAGTCAGAGATTCAAGAGCATAATTAATTTCATCTTTGGTTTGCAAAAGAATGTTTGGATCGAAGTTATATTCCATAAATGTTCGATGCTGCTCCCAATCAGCTCTATGGTTAATGAAAGTAGAGCTGTTGGGATTACAAATTATTTCTTGGGATATTTCAAAAGTTACTGGAAGGTGATCAAAACCGAAGTCAGCATGGGTAACCAGTTGGCTACAAAGTTGACATGAATCAGTTAAGACCAAATCAATAGTGGAGGGATTTCTTGCAGAAGAAAAGCATGTTGGGTTGTTTGGATATTGAATAGTGTAATAACCTGCAGAACAATCATCAAACAGAATATTACCATTGGAATTGCTTTGAGAATTATTCCATGAGCGGTGTTTTGCATTAAAATCATCATAATGAAGAATTTAGACCTATGACGGGTAAGTTTCTGGATCTCACCCTTGAGAAAATTCTTTTGCTGGCCTACGCATTGGAATGGCAAATAGGCAGCTATAAACGTAAGTTGTCCAAATTTTGTTTCAACAGAAACTCCCAAAGTTTCAAAAACTTTGGTTTCAAATGAAGAAAGAATTTTATGTTTGATTCGTCTATGAATAATGACGGCAACGCCACCACAGGGTCCATCAAGACGATCATTTCTATAAATCAAGTAATTTGCGTCCTTCTTAACCTTATGGTCAGGTTTAAGGAACGTTTCAGTTATAACGGCAATATGCACGTTATGAACTCTCAAAAAGTTAAATAGCTCGGCTTCATTATCTTTAAGAGATCGAGCATTTCAATTTACAATATTTAATGCTTTAAAATCCATTACTGAATTTTAAAGTCATGACAATATTATTTGCAAATTTTACTCCAGTTTGAATAGCATCAAACATGGAGTTAGATTTAAGCATATCAGAAATCATGTCAATTAATGATTTCTGTAAAAATTCCATTTTAGGGGCAGTAATAATAAGTCAAAATTTCCGTTAGTATTACGT